CAAGTAATCGCCAATGGCGCACTTTCAACCCCTATAGCGCAAAACGCCAGAGGGGTGAATGTTTGATATTTTCGGTTTTATGATCACCCACCCGCCCCCTATCATCCCTGAAAAGTTCATTTGGGTAGAAATTTTTTTTTTGAAAATCGACAATTTTCCTAGACTAATCACGAATTTCCACAAATAGCGGAGTAAAATCAAAATGAAATTATGACTTTGAGTGATTCCGAGGTATAACCAGATGAAACTTATATCATCTTGTAGAGGACACTCTGGGGCATAGGAAATGGGGATGTACAACTTTTTTAGTAGGACTGAACTTTGAAATCGGCCCTTAAACGTGACTGAGCTCGAATTTGAAAAACTACGTTTTTCTAAACATTACCCGCTGTATTTAAATAAAGCATACAATCTAAAATTCTGATTTTTTGCACATTTATACTTGAAGCATGGGCGCTTCTAATGACAGTTCAGAAATTTCGAAAAGGTTTAAGGTTTTTTTGTTGAAAAGTTAGGAATATAGAATTATCAAAATCGTGCATCTAAAACTTCACCCTGCAGCGAGCCATGTGAATTATTGAAAATTTCTATACATATATATCGAATCAAATGTAGTAAAAACATTGTCAAAGTTTTTGAAAAAAAAATTAAGTCGCTAACTTTAACGGTTATAGAATTATGAATTTTTATCCGGGAGCTTTGAAATGCGCTCTGATGCTGTAAGCGGCTAGCGGCTACCATTCTGGAAATCATCTGCGTTAGTGCGTTAGCGTTGCATCTAGAAATAAACTAAAAAAATCTATAAACATAAAGTAATTGATTGAATCCTTTTTTATGAAGTTAGTTTAAATATTTTCTCCTTCGTCATCCTCATATAAATCAGGAATATTATTTTGACAACTTTTGCAGGAACAATAATCGCTGCAGCATGTTAAACCCTCTTTCAAGCAGACATTAATTTATTATTTTGACATAATTTATCTTTGCAGAAGACATTCATTAGTTGCCTTATATCCATTGGTATGGGATCAGCAGTCATCAAAACAGGCTCAAAAATTCCATTATTCCTAGTCCAAACAAAGTTAACAGGGTCAAGTATAGGCATAATAGGTATATGACCGGATATCCATATACGCAGTTGATATATGCACCTGAAATTTTGTTTATCGCATAAATACAGCTTCTTTTGTTATATATACATCTAGCTCAGTACATGCTAGTAAAATGCATCATCTGTGGGTGGAAGTTCAGAAGCGAATTGATTGGAAGTTGTGATCAACTGATATCTCAATTCATCGAGGGTTTTTAGGGCCTCGTTCTTATTTCTGAATAGGGCCAATGCAAATTTGGTGGAAATATAAGGTTCCAAGATTTTTAGAAAATACATTTTTTGCCTTTGCATTTGTGGTATCGCATCCTGTTGACACATGCAGCGCTGGCAAACATTTATAAACTTCATATTCCAGTTTCTACACTATTTATTGGAATGATCCGTTTTTTATTCCCTTGTCCTAATTCCATAAAAAGGTAGGTTTCTTTCAAAGAACTTACTTCAATAAATTCAGAATAGTGGTAAATAAGTAATACCAGAACATTTGCATCTGCAGACTTCACCAACACTTTTTTTTGGTGAAGTATCTGATATTCATATAAGACGTGGATTATAATAAGTCGTGCATCAGTATCATCATGATTCGATTTCAAATCTTTCATTTCGGTTACACGGTTACACCATCCTTGTTGACAGAAAAGCATAACTCTGGATTTTCAAAATCACGATGATCAGAGTTTCTTCTATTTGTCAGCTAAATGTTCCAAAATATAACCAGTTACAAATTTCAATAGGGATTCTTCATTTCTGCCAATTTTAAAAAAATCCGAAACTTCATCACTTTTCTCTTTCCAGAAACTTCATACGCATACGTATCTGCAAAGTTACTTCTTCTGCGTCTGTCCAAAGACTTGACCGATTCATCTATTAAAAACCACCGTTATCCTCAGTGCTTCATACCTTCGACCAAGTGAAAGAATTTGCTTCAGAATAGTACATTAAAATACAAGTTTCATAAGACGTCATTTTATCGCACGAGCCCTATATTAGAAAACGAGCCGGAGGCGAGTTTTCTAAAGGGCGAGTGCGATAAAATGTCTTATGAAACGAATATTTTATACTATTTTTTCTATTTTGGTATTGTTTAATTTAAAAAAACAAATTTTTCTTGAAAATTTTATTCTCATATTTCCTGATTTCATATGTTTAGGTTGGTAACACTGCATGCCAAAAGTAGAAATCTTCTATTATAAAATCGCGAATGACAGTTCGATGGCCATCAGTCAGCCAGTGTAACCAACCTTCGATAAGTAAAAAAGGAGTGTCACAAAGAGCTTCTTTTCGAAACTACTTTCAGTGTCGAAAAGACTTCGATATGACACCAAAAGAGAAAAAAATACATGCGAGTTCATGAAAAGTTAAGTTGAAAATGCTTTATCATTTAGTCCTTGAATAAGTACCATGCCATCTATTATAAGTGAATAATTGAAGGGGGTGTGACCCAAAAATGAAGTTTCAGTGCGAAAAAATCTAATAACAAATATTTGAACCGCATCTTGCTACGATGAACCGTTTTCGAGTATATAAGGGTGGTTCAAAGTGACAAACGCCTAGGCTGTGACGTCACACTGGCTTCGGAGGCACAGTTAAAATATGTGTAAAATTTTCCGAGACAAAAGTCAACGATCTCACTTAAAGCAAATTGCAACCACTTAAAGTATACGGCACGGTTCAACCATTGAACAAACAGAAGGCTATGATTTCGGCGGTTAGCCGGTGTGACGTTACAAGTTCCCGCAAAATTTATTTTCATGAAGAATTTTCTCGGATAGTATGTTGAATGAAAGACTGCGGTTTCCACGGGAGATCTTAGATTTTTTTTCTTCATTTAAGTAGCTTAAGTTGCTTTTTTTAGTTACACCCTTGTTTAAAATCAGTTCGAAGAGAAGCAACTGTTGAACATGGTTCAAACTTTAATAATAAATCAGACTTTTCGCATACGAACGCACAAAACTGGAAAAGTCAGAAAATGCACCTCTCGGTGAATGCACGAATAATTCCGTCGCGACGTGGTTCACGATGGGCTGAGCGCGCTCCAGGGCTCTTGGATAAAAATTTATATTTCTATAACCGTTAAAGTTAGCACCTTAATTTTGGATTGTATGCTTAAATTAATACAGCGGGTAATGTTTAGAAAAACATAGTTTTTCTAATTCGAGCTCAGTCACGTTTAACGGCCAATTTCAAACTTCAGTCCTATTAAAAAAAGTTGTACATTCCCATTTCCTATGCCCCAAAGTGTCCTCTATAAGATGATATAGGTTTCATCTGGTTATACCTCGGAATCACCCACCCTCAGAAAACAGCGAGTTAGAGCAGTGATTTTATTCCACTAAAAAATTAGCCGTACATTAACAAACTGTTTACTTATTTCATTCTAAAAGTGAACATTTTGTTTATAAGAAGAAGAAAAAAAATGCTAGTACAGTTTTTCCCTGAATACGTACTCAATTTTGGCAATCTGTAGTCTAAAGTGATTTTTTTGCTGCAATAAAAAAAGAATTGTAATTTTTTCGTGGTATGGGCATTTCGAAAAGGCACATGACAAATTTTAAATACATTTGAAAACCTTGGTTGCCTTTATTTTATCCTATTTTTTTTTTCTGAAAAAACTTTAACTTGCAATGGAGTTAATACTTTTTGTGACTTCAAAATGGCACTCTAAATGTTCATTTTCGTTAATTTTTTTGGTAATGCTTCCAAGATAAAAAAATACACATTATGTTAAGATACAAAACAAAAATAATTGAAATAGTATTTCTGAATATCGCATTAAAGCGCCCAACAGAAGATTTGTGAGATTTTCTTAAGAAAAAATTAAATCGGCGATATTTTGAAAACCGTAAGACTTGGTACTAAGGTAAGTTTGACTAAATAGGTTCTAAATGACTTACTCTATCACCTTCCAAAATATACAGTGTCATTACTTAAGTGTGCAACATACGGGATTTTTTTTTTAGTCATAGCACAATCAAAATACAAACAAGGCCAAAAGTTGGTGCATGTCTGATAATCATATTAGGTGCACTTAGAATGGTTGCAAGTCAAACAGCATACAGGATGGCTCAAATAATATCAAAATTCTACTAATATTTACTTAAATAAAATAAAACTTTTGCACATTAAGGAGAGTTTTTTTAATATGGCTATTATCACTAGTAATGTTTTAACTTGTTAAAAAAAAATTGCGACATTTCAAAGTTGTGTTGAATATCATTGCAACAAACATGAATTTTGTGATTCCATAAAAAATTAAAAATCTAAGTTAATTTTACAAATATGCTTGAATTTGAACAAAGTTATGTAAAATTGATTTGATTTGAATTAATTTTTGAAAGTATTAAGGGCAGAAATAGAAAATAAAAAAAATATAGAAATTATAGATTTTTTTCGAAAGAAAATAAAAAAAATCTTAGGAGGCTATGTTTTGGTATTTAGGCATAACTTTTAATTCCAAACAACTTTTCTCTATAACATTTTGCTGAATTTTCTAAAATAAGGGTACTTTACAGTACAGCTTTGATATTGTTGGAGCTACCCTGTATGCTGTTTGACTTGCAACCATTCTAAGTGCACCTAATATGATTATCAGACATGCACCAACTTTTGGCCTTGTTTGTATTTGGGTTGTGCTATTACTAAAAAAAATCCCCATATGTTGCACTCTTAAAAAATCACACTGTATGCATCGACCTACCAAACACCCTGTATTAGTGGTCCGTATTCGGTATATTTGGCTGTGAGTTATGAAAGCTAGAAGCTAAAAATATTAAAGATTTAAAAAGTGGTGGCTGTAACCATCACCAAAACTGTCTAATCAGAACATCCCCAGGCTAATTAATGTCTATAATGTTAATCTGTGGAAAAATAAAACCACCATATTATATTTTTATATTTGATATTTATTTATATGAATTATTATTATAGTGTGTATCGATTATTAATGTAATACCATACTTATTGTGTAATAGTGCTAACAGAGTGGGTGTTTGACTAGATTTACGACAGACAACTAAGTCTGCAGTGGTCTTGATGAAGATACATTTTTTGTGTTTTTATCACATTTTGAATTTTTTTTTTTTCGGTGGGAAATATTCAGGGATAAGTGGGGTCACAGGGAAAAGGAGTGGGCAACGACAGCCACTTGAAACATTCACGCGCTCGGTCTCACACTCACATGGATTTAGCCTGTCTAAAAAATTGGATCCTTTTCGCAGCATCTAGGTATAAGTTTTTATATACACACAGTGTTGGTTTTTATATTTTTCCATTTACTTATAATTAAATAAAACGAATCACAGCACGGATAAAAACAATATAGCTTTTTTAAAACTTAAAACTAAAATATTAGAGATATGTAAAAAAAAAAACTATTCGTTATAATAATCAAGAGACCTTTTGTTTTATTACATATTTACAAATTTGTTGCTGGTGTCTTAAAATTTATTTTAAACAGATTTAGTTTCTCAGGAATATTTCTCTGTAACTCCTTTATAAATAAATAGGTTGTAATAAGTACAATCGATTTGTATGATTAAAACTTTATTTAGCACGAGTAGTTCACTAAAATAATTATTGTTAACATATTGAGTAAATTATCTATTTTAATAATGAAATTATTATTAAAAAAGTGCTTTACTTTATATTATTGCATTTATCAAATCGAAGTTACAAAGAAGTATCATCAGACATGTATTTACGTTATGGCAGGTTTCATATTGAATTTATAAAGCCTCATACTAACTTGTGCACAAATTAACGTGAACGAGGCAAGGCAAGGCTGAAACCGAGTACGCCGAGTACGAACTCTTGTGTAACTCACTTGAGCCACACTGAGCAAGAATTAATTTGCTGCTAGCTGCGCCTCGAAACGAGATTCACATTGACTGCCTCGAGGGGCTTTGGCTTACTCGCATTCGTCCTCAAATTTAATGAGTACGCTGCTTAATAAACTTGATATAAAAATAATTTAGGATTTTGTGCATGATAAAAATTGGATCAATCTAGACCGGCACGAGGCAGTCAGTCAAGTTGTGTCAAGGCAGGCTTGGCTTAGCTTCATGTATTTGTGCTCGAGTGAGTACGCAGCTTTAAAGTTTGATCAGATTAACATTAAAAACGATAACTCCGCTTTTCGACAAACATGGGGGTAACACCTTTGGGTAACACATTTTTATGGTACACGTTTCTAGACAAACACACATGCATATAGGCCAAGTTAGAGCCTTTTTCAAGCATTTGGTATGAGACGTTCGTTGTTTAAGACATTTTGAGTCATTACTGAACTGAAAAAAGAAATAAGTTTGCAGTAATTATTACAATACGTCGTGTTTCATGTTTTTTTTTTCTATTTTGTATGGTAGATTATTACCGTACTTCATTCGGTTTACTAGGTCTAGAAATGTGCCCAGAGTTAGAAAACAATTTCGCATATTGCTTAAATATTTAAATCTTAAATTATACATTAAAATATACACTGATTATGGAACAATTGAATATATTATATAATACTTTTTTCACACTTTTTGACACTTTATTAACGAACACCTATTTAAATGCTATAGGTATGATAATATGTTGTTTTAAGAACATTTTTTTCCTAGACAGTCTAAATTGTTGATATAACAACTGCAGTATACCCTTCAAGGCGCATATTACCTAGACGCCTTTGAGTAGAAAATTGAACAATTTAAAGGTATATTAACTACTTAATGATAATTTAATTAAAAAATAATATGTACCAATGCTAAAAACTTATATGTGCAACTGTCGTCGCCATATAGGTTTGTGCCTAGCGAACTTATTTTATCGCTTTTCTTAAAATACCCTGTCTTTTTCAAATTCAAATTATAAATTCTTCATAAGCAATGATCGAAATTATTTGTACAGGAAATTTGTATTTTATTGCCAAATTTCTCTAAGCAAGTTTACAGCTTTATCGAATGAATTATTATTTCATCAATTTATAAAGTATGTCATATTATATCCTAAAGTTTTCTTGAACGAATTCAAAATTTTGTAACGATGTGACTTTGGTCTATTAGAAATTATTCTAGATAATGTAACATGATCGAATATCGAAATAACGCGAAAAAGTGGAACCATTCACGTACCAAGTACCTACCAAAGTTTTCCAACACTGAAATCTGAAGCCACAAAAATAAATTTCGTAAAGATTCAGCATTAGATGTTAGTAGGATTAGTTCCGGTTACGTCTGATTGACAGAGTCTGAAGAGGCACAACTGGACACAGACCTGAAAGACTTTGCAGGGCAGGTGCTACGAGATTTGAGGAGAGCCTCGAAAGTTCTGATAAATTGCGCGCTTCAACGTTAGAATGGGAGAAAAACGTCAAGATTAGTCTAAAAGAAATGGAAAGAATATTCGCAAAGCATAAATACAGGTGCCACCCGTTCATTTATCACTATAATTTCTAAAAAACTAGCCTTGGACCTGTCTTTTATTTTACTGCAACAAAACAACAAAATATGTATGTGGAGATTACTAAATAAATGATAGAGGCTGAGACATTTTATATAACAATATCCACTTTATCTTATCATATGTTTCACTGAGATTAGAGGAAGCCAGATTAGAGCTCAGGGACATTATTTTAGACATCCGCATTTTTTTGTGTAATATGTACACTTATAATACTAGTGATAATTATATTTTAATGATTATTTTTATTGGTAATACGTTTTTGGTACAACTTATTTTTCTCTCGAACTACACATTGCTTGCATCAAACACTTTTTTTTCTCCGCGCTTTGGCTATGTGTACGAGATCTACTAGGGGTTGTGGCAGGTATATTTTTTGACATATTTTAGTGAGAAACGCTATTGTAAAGGACTAAAAAATATTAACTCTTTATTTTAAGTGGAAGTAAGGTTTCCTAAGCTCTATTTAATATTTCAGCTGAGCTCCAAAATGATTAATATGATTGTCCGTTTTCTGAAGGGTTTCGATGAACAAAATAATTACCCTTTGGATGTCTTTTTTGTGTTACATACATATTCAGGCAGTTGGAGGTGTGGTTTGTGCGTCTTTGTGAAACAGCCCTGACTTTAGAATTAAGACCTTTGCATCAAGAAACTATCAACTAACAAAGTAATACTTATTGCAGAATTAAAATTATTGGCTTTGCAGAATCAAAATTATTGGCAACCATATTTTTTTTTGGTCGGAAAACGCATGTAATACTGTCAAAAATAGCCCTCCTAGGTGAAGTCTCTTATACCGTTCATCTTTTATTTATCCAATGCAGGAGAAATTTAATCTACATGTAAGTACCTAATGCAAACAACAACATGCCTATCAAACACGGAAATCATGTGAGACAGCGGCTCACAACCTCGTTGCGAGGGTTGAAACCGAGATTCACAACAAAGAAATAGCTCTGGGAGCCTTTGATAACGCATCTTTTGTTGCGATGGTCACCGCCGCAGCAAGACATGGAGTCGACAACACCACCTGTAGGTCGATATACAACATGCTTGAGTACGGGCGAGTTAAAGTCAACATAGATGAAGACACCCTAGAAGCTGACGATACCCAGTGGAGGATGAGTTGCTCGTACGTCTCAAATCACAGGGATTTTACGCCCAAGGGCATGCAGACGATGTAGCGATATTCGTTCAAAGGAAACATCCCACGGTCATAGCAGGAGTTATGCGAACAGCCCTGATAGGTGTACAACGCTGGTGCGAGAAAGATAACCGCATGGTCAACGCCCAAAAGAGCCTTCAGAGACTGGCATGTCTGTGCGGTGGAAATGATCACGTTAAAATGGCATCCATAGTTAACGCCCACCGGATTAGGGCTGCCGGGGCATGGAAAGAAACACCAGGCAACTACGGCCACACAAAGGTTTTCAACCTGATGAACGATAGCATAGTGGAAATGCAAACGGATCAAATGGTGGTAACCCTTAAGTTTGAAAGACTATTCAAAGTCATATGCGACCCAAGCATATGGCAGGATGGAACGCCTCACATAATAAGAACAGGCCTGGTCTGGTACTCAGACGACTCCAAAACAGCGGATGGAGCTGGCGCTGGCGTATATTGAAAAAAACCAAGATCAGAACAAAGCATCCTTCTGGGGACACCACAGTTTACCAGGCAGAAATTCGTGCAATTCAAGCATGGGCACAGGGGATTCTAAGGCTGGATTATAACAACCAGAACATAAGCATTCTCTCAGACAGTCAGGCTGATCTAAAAGCTCTGAGCTCACATCGATTTACTTCAAAGATAACGATGGAATGCCGTAAAGGAATAACACGATCTCCTGTGGGTTCCTGGGCATTCGGGGATAGAAGGCAAAGAAAAGAGGCCGACGAAATGGCCGGAGCGGGCGCAGCCCTACGCAAGACCAGAACCCACATTTGGGATATCGAAGCCATGTTATAAAGATGGCAAGACACTCGAAGGGGGTAATTGAAAACCCCTCAAAGATGCTAACAGCTGAAGTACTGTCACTAACGCGTATTCAGATAAGACGGGTGGTAGGACTACTAACAGGACACTGCCATCTCAAAGCGCACAATGCCGGAAATGAGAGTCTACAATGGCCCAACGACATTAGACTGTGTGGTGAAGAGGAGGAAATCGCCTTACACATAATTATATGACTGCGAAGCACTGGCTCGCAGAAGACACAATTTATTTGGAGAAACAACGCGGCGAGATATTCCCGCATGAGAAACTTACCAGCACGCTGCTAACGTCAGCAAGTAATCCCTATCGACCTCTGTCCACACGCTCGAAAAATATAACCACAATAAAACACTGGCTGCCTTCCTTCTTCAATTATTTATGTTTAATTATTTATGTCCTGAAACTCCTTGTGCTTAAGCCAGAGCTACCAAAAAGATAATTTTGTCCTTCCCAATAAAATAACAAACTAAAGCATGTCAAAATAACAAGTAGACAGGACCTCCTAAAAAAATGAGCACTTAAAAATATCAGTTGATCTTAATTAAGTTCACTAAATCCAAATCTACCTATACAAAGTGAGATAAACATGTTCGTTATCTTGTTTTCAACACAAAACACTAATTTTAAATATGTGTGCGAATATAACATCTGGGATCGGGTCATGAATTGCTATTTTACACTTATGCAATGACATTGGCTCTTCCTCGAGAAGCCGAACGAGTCCGATGAAAACGAACACATTCTGACGAATAAAAAGTTTTTGTTTTTTTTTTTAAATTTTGGTCCAATTTGTCCTTTTAGCTTACTTGGTACATTTAACATTCAAGCCTCGTTCCAAAGTGCGTAATGTACTTTTTTATTCGAATATCTGTTAAAATAAATAAATAAATGTCAGAATGCAATAATTTATTATTTTTTATAAAGAATCCAAAAACGCATACAATTTTTCGATGACTCAAATAATTATGATTATATACCACTTCAGCTAACACCATACTTACCTAATTCCAGATATAATCTTGGTCTTGGTCATGGTGATGGAATGTATTTCGATAATAAAAAAATGCAATTTGAAACACCCTGTAGATACTTTCCAAATATTGTTGCTTAAGAAATTAAAAAGTACGTAGAACGATCAACTAATCTATATTTTAATTGAAAATGTTTATAGGAAACAATTGGAAATAAAAAAAAATCTCCATATAATACCTTGGCACTAAAATTGACACTAAAAATGCAGGAATCATCGGTAACAAACTTAAAAATAAACTAAACCTCGAAAATAAATTACCTGAATTGATTACATAGATGCATCTAGAATGTCCATTGCAGCTTTTTATTCTGACATCTTTTATTTAGACTAACGGAAAACTATATCGACTTAATGTGCAGACCAAAACCGATACACTGCCAGATAGGGCAGAGCTGACGACATCATTAAAAATTACAATATACAAGTGGCAAGCAACATAATGGATACTAGCGCTAAGTTGCAAGACTGGATTGAATCAAAAATTGATATTTTGAATGTTGAAGTTATGTAACTGACCAATAGAAACCTGAAAGTAGAGACAAAAAATTGACTCTCTCTTCAAACGTAATTCAAGCAATGGAGCACGCTTTTTGGTTCAATTTGAACTATATTTGTTATTGCGATTTTGAGAATTTCAGCTTGTAATTTTTAATGTATTTTTAGGGTTAGTTATGATTTAATGTACCTGAGCGCTCACTACAATGTCAAAAAATTGTCTTTGAACCCTACACTTGCCAGTAATTATTATCGAATAGGCCTTGCCTATAGGCTCAGCACTGGAGATTCTGATGTATTTTGGTTTAAGTTGGCTTCACTAGGACCTGGGCTAGAAGTTTTTTTTTTTTTTTTTAAATTAGTCGCCTGTACATGGATGTTGTTAGCTACGTCCGCAGTTATTGTCGACAATCGAGTCTGTCGTTAGGCCGCCTGAAACAAGGAAAAACTCGATGAACTAAAACATGTAGAATTGGGTTTTTCTTACCTGTTTAGTCTGAAGAAATTTAGGCATCCTGGTCCCTATCAGATAAATCAGACACCGGTGTCAAAGCTGCTGGATGGACCGCTGTTAGAAGAGGAGTTGATTGACTTGCGTGACCATGTTCTCGTCCCAAAATTTCTGAGTTCAAATCAATGGTATGTAATGATGGGGTCTTTTGAGGTTGAACCCAGAACTAAATAATATTTATCAAAAAATGTTCCAGATTTGTTTTAGATTATTCTTACGGATACTTTATCTTTGCCCTTCTTTTCGTGTTGTTGAACAAGACTTTTGAACATCTGAGAATTAATAAAGCGAGGATAGCTGTCCCTTTGCATCAGCGTATAGATTTGTAATTGAGCTTCGTCATACATGGTTGGTTGTGGGTCTGGTAGTTGTTTCTTCACGATGTCTCGTACTCGAGAATCCAAGGATACCTACATGAAATCGACAATTAAAATTCTTAAAATGATATTGTTACGAAATTGCCTCGGGAACCCGGCCAGATTCTAAGAAATGCAATTGTCTGCGCGTCGCCGAAACAATTCGGAGAATTCTATTCTAGCAGGGAGCCAGGTGTTTTAGATAAATCCCGAGTACACTGTCTGCCTGCTATAAATAGCGCGAAGTAGTAGCTTAAGTCAGTTTTAATTCGATATTTGTCGTGTATGTATCGATAAGTGATAAGTGAATTTTCTATAAAGTCAACTAGTGTAATAATAAAAGTTGTTGCTGTTTGTGTTAGTGAGTTCCCGTGAACCCGGAATCCGTGACAATTTGGTGGCGGAAGTGAGATTTTGGAGACAATTGGTGCATTAATTTGAGCTAATTAGTAGGATCATTCAGCAAGATGATTATTGGTGCATTCATTTGAGCTGGATAGTGAAATAATTGGCAAGATAACTACTGGACTAATTTGAGCTAATCAGTGGGATTATTAGCAAGATAATTGGCGCATTAGTTTGAGCTAATTTGTTTAAAGTCAAGTAGTTTACACGCCCGTATTCACCAAAATCAACTTAGCTATCTGATAGCTGTCAGTCTGTTAACATTTATCAGTCGGATAACAGCAAGTGCTATTCACCAATAAAAATGGTCCTTCTGACAACAAACAGACTGATAAAAATAAAAATCCATATATTCTATGAACAGTTTTTCTCTTCATTTCATTTAACAGCCTCAAAATTTGTTTGTATTATATTTATTTATTAATAATAACTTTTCTTGGGCTGTGAAACAAGTAAACAACTTCCTAATCCTAATAATTTGTCTAATAATAATTAATTGAACCCTATGCTGGAACAACGTTTCAAACGCCAAATATACCAAACAAGCGCGAAACTAGGGCGGTTGCAATTAAAACGTTATTGCACAAAAAGGACATACTGGGCCAATTGAAATGGCATCAACACTTCATAAAAAAAAATCATATTATCCCACTATTAAGTTGGCGAATTATCCAGGGTACAATACAACATTATTCCATGAAAATACCGTTTTTACACATTGTCGTTTACAACGTTGTTCCAGCATAGGGTTCAATTATTGTATACGAATACCAAATGGAAAAAGAAAACGGAGCAGCTTTCTGGTCGCGAAAAGGAAATTCTAATTTTTTCGGTTGAGAAATATTTAATCGGGAATTAGAAAACCATAACCAATACAGTACAGTTGGTTGTGAAACATTGAAATGGTCACCGCAATACAAAGTTGAAAAGATCCGGTTGCAATTAAAATCTGATTTTTTTTAGATTGGTTTATATATTTCGTCCGCAATGGCTCCAAGACTAGGTTCAGTGTTCAGAGGTTTATTTTCAGCCTTTGAAAGCTATTTTTGTTTATTCTGAATCTTTTATGAAACTCCAAATCATCCAATTCAGTGAATAAATCATTCTTGCCGTCACATTTCTGGGCCTGGGAATATCTTCATCTGATGGATCATCCGCGATGAACTTCCAAAAAAATTTAGGTCAGTTTCATCCATTCAGTTCATTTTGCCAAAGGATAAAAACTTATAAGTACCACAAATTAAAATTTAACGAACCATTCATTCTTTCCAATTTATGGATACCTACGTTCGATTTTCGTTTCGAAACAAAACAATAACAATAACACTTATCAGATGGATAACTTCCTTAACAGCCCAAATTTCGCCTGACAACTGTATCGGACTGATATCTACTACTCAAGGTTGGTGAATACCAAATTTTACGTTAACAGTCTGACAAGCAGTTTATCAGACTGATAAGCAGTTATCGGTCGTTGGTGAATACGGCCGTAAGTGAACCCGGAATCTTTGATAATATACTCGAAAGCGATTTTTGCTGATAATTTACTGGCCGATCATAAATATGCGCCATTAGGGTGAAAAGTCTGGAAAAGTACGCAAATAACTAAAGCAAACAGATTAAAGCCCAGCACACTATATGGAAACGTACCATTCTATATGTAGGAAATTTATTGGACATGGCAATAGATTTTAATGACTTTCTTATAGGTTTTAATCACCGCTGGAGATTATAAAACATTAGACAAATAACAGGATTCAATAGCACATTATTTACGCACTGACTTAAATTAGGTCTTCTTTGTGTCAGAATAACAAAACCATACAAGTTGTGCTCCTTAACCATAGATAGATTAATGAAAACAATAAATAAAGCATCCTTGATCAAAGTTAAAGTTGAATTTAAATAAACATTCGAAACAAGAGAAAATTGTTTATCTGTTGGCAACAAATTGAATGTAGGCGTTTTCAGTTCTTTTTCAAGCAAAAATTGGGAATGAGGGTGTAAGTTTTCCCTCAGTCTTGTGTTTTCTAGAAAAAATTTATTGCCAAGGACTGTACCTACCTATGTGTATGTGATATTGCTGCTACGAGATTTGTTTGTTAAACAATGTTATTTCAGCTGATAAAGACGTATGACGTGTATAAAAGTACACCGAGTATACCTGGAACTGCCTTCCGCTTTCCAGTTGGACAAACAAAAATAAATTGAAACTTCTAATGAGGGTTTCAAACGAATAAGCCCCTTTTAAAATAATCCTTAGTGGGTAGAAAATCCTGCAAAATAAAATTTCAGTGTATGCCCACACTGAGTGATAAAACAAAGCTGTGCCTTTCTGGTGTTTATATTACGGTATATTGAATCGTTGATAAAATGAAAGATAAAACCAGTCGAAGCGTAGGTAGCTATACTACGGACCTTTATTGAAGAACAATGTTTTGCAGGGAAAATGCAAATGAAGCATGTCAAACACTGAAAAATTATTTTATTTATCAATTATGTTTTGCTGTTTACTGTTTTTGATTTCAAACGTTCCGTTAAATAGCGGGTCAACAGCACCAACAGGTTATAATTATATACAAATCAATATTTTGTTCCAGAGGCCAACAATAATGACTTTTAATTGTAAATTATAGCGTTTAAATAGGGACCAGAATATAATTATTTGTCAAATTTCACAATAGGGTACTTGCATGGAAAATTAAATTGATTATTGTTTATTGCAAACTGTAGGAAATCGAAAAAAAATCGTTACTATTTTTTTATTTCGCCCAAATATGATTATTCCGGAAGTTATTCAAATATTAAGTTTTGTATATATAGATATACTGAGCATGTGCAACGTCACTAATTTATTAGATAAGTGACGTCATAGGCTGATTTCATAGTGTTGTATCTCCGTTAATTTTTGACTAAGAAGAAAAAGAAAAAACACGTGTTGACTTATTTTTCATGGACTATTGAAATCAGCAATAAAAAAATTTGATGCAAGGAGCCTATTGAAACCGAAAATAATTATGTAACCATTCAATTATCATAATACAATTCAGGAATAATTGAACAAACAATATTATCAGGAATATAAGATTCGCTTTATTTTTTTCCTACAAGCATATTCTTGCTCGCCCCCTCAAAGCATATTCAAAATTCCAAAGCTATAAAACACTATGGCAATTTAGAGTAGATTTGTAATAGATCCAAGAAGAAGTGTACCATGCGTGCTTGAAGCACACGATAGAAGTGAAAACGTCAACAAGGGGAGAATAGCGAGATTAATAATAAGAAATACTTTTACTTCTACTATTTTTTTTTTCACCAATTAATAAAACCTATACAATTATAATTGTGTATGAATAACTCTGTTATTATTATTATGTGGAGGGCTAGAGTAACGCTAGCCCCCTCCCCCCCAGTTGTTAAATCCTTTCCAAAATGCTAGGGCATGTTCGTGACACCTAGCGCACCCTAGCGCAAGTTGTGTCGTAGAGAGCGCAGCTATCGTAAATGTTATATAGAGTACTTAATTTTTCCAAATTGTATCCAAAGCTTGCTTAAAGCTAGCACATTCTAGCTGTTTAATAATTATCCAGATATTTATTCGGTAGCGGGGGGGATGGCGGCTAGAGTAAAGCTAATTTCCTCCTCCACAGTTGTTTCTTTCCAAAGCTTTCGATAGAATTTGGAAAAATTAAAAGTCACATGGAGGCGCTGATGATTCAGTTCACCCTGTATAAAAGTTACGATAGCTGCGCTAGCTACATAACACAACTTGCGCTAGGTGTCACGACTATGCGCTAGCATTTTGAAAAAGATTTAAAAACTGGTGGGGGGAGGCTATACCGTTACTCTAGCCCTTCCGAATGAATAGTGAATACCTGTATGTGTTGTAAACGGGTAATGCGCTTGCTCGAATTTTACCTCCTCTAGCTTTAAGGAAACATTTTTGAAAAATTGAAAATAACGTGTAGGTGCTCATGATTTTTTTTTGTTCACCCTGTATGACAGTTACGATAGCTGCGCTAGCTATGACACAACTTGCGTTACGCTGATCTAAGTTTTACGAATGTGCGCCAGAATTTTTGAAAAGATCGAATAACTGGAGGGGGCTAGCATAACCCTAGCCCCCACCCCCTTCCCCGAATATATATCATATCTTTTGAATGTAGCTGCACTAGCTTTCGAAAAAGTTGCGCTAGGTTGCGCTAGCTCTAGAGAATGAGGGCTAGCGTGGGGGCCCATGGGGGGTCTTGTCGTCATAACAAACATCAATTTATGAATGAGATGCGGTGTCTATCTGTGTTAAGATGTCATTGGTCGAAACACTGTCGAGTTGAACAAAAAACCGAATTGAAAAACATTAAAACGTTAATTTAATAAACAAACATCACAGATGCTTGACAAATGCGGCCATATTGCATCCTGGCATGTGTGGTTTGGATAAAAGTTGTTTGGGAGAGGTAGGTTCCCTGATAACTTCTATAACGTCATCTGGATGCCTAAACATAATATAAATCTCCATGGGAGCCACCTGATGACGTCATATGTTTGCCATCACCAGACAACCTATTACAAGAAATTAACATTTTGCCAATGCTTTTATTTTATTTATTCATTTATTTATTTGTGCTGCTGACTGTTTCTCTCTCTCACTTGGCTGAACTCGACCGAATGAGCGATAACAATTCGGGAGTGACGGCTTAATCTCAGTTCACTATCCAGAAAAAATTTTGTGCTGAACGCGCCTTAAGAAGTTCTCACTTCAAAATATTGGTCGAAGTTTCCAATAGAAGCCGAAATGAGATATATTATTGAAGAATTTTTTTGTGGCTTAGTTGTAATGCCAAAAAAATGCAAAAATATAAGTTGTAGTTTCACCGCTTCTATTTACCAGAAAGCTTGAGATAAGCGATAATCGGTTACCTACAATAAATTATTGTTCTATTTTCAAATCTAGAGTGACCCTTGAACATAAGAAAACATATTTTTTCCTGCGGCAATGCATCTTTTTAATTTTTTGTAAAATATTTGGTCGGAAATCATCAGTTACATTGAAAGAAATTTTGAGTTATGCGATGGCAAAGGGCTGTGACATAAACTGCTTAATTTGCGAGAACACAATTATTATTTGAACATTTGGTGGAAAAATGTGAGACAGTTCAAAAATGTTAGTCTGCTTTCAATGCATTAAACGATGAACGAGGCGGATCTCGGCCAGTAACAATTCCTCTCGTCAACCACAATAATTCTTGTTGTTATCGGCCTAATAGACCTGTTTCAAATGACCTTTTGCATGAGCAAAATTCTTTCAGGCATACTTAGCTAGAATCCCGCTAGCTTTTATCCCTTTGTTTCAAACCATACAGAACGGTTATCAAGGTTTTCAAGATAAACGGGAGCTGATCTCATTTATCGATGCTGTTCATTTTCTGAAAAGTGATTCGAAGCCAGAGAGCAGCAGTTAAATCGTCGACTACCAGGCGTGCCTTTGGCCAAATTAATTATTTGGTCGAATGTCAGGTTATTTAATCGTTTTGTTGGATCAACAATCACCCCGTTGAAAAGGGCATACGCAGAAAGCAACTTGGTGCATTTTTTACTTTTGCGATTACTGTGCTGTGGAATGAAAAAATTGAATAATAAAATATATAAATTTTCGAAAAAATACCATTTTCCTCCTGACAAAATCATAATCATCAATCAATTTTATTGATTAAAATATAAAGCATTTGTGCCGATATTTGTTAAATTTGTCGGCAGTAATGTAAGAAATAAAGATTGGAAAAATGTGTTCCATTTTTTAATTTTTTCGTCCTCCTCTAAAGTCGCAAAATTAAATAGTGAAATAAATTTCTTCCCTTGTATTTGAAAAACTTGAGGGAGGTTTCCAAATGCAATGAAAATGTTGAATACTCAAAATCGATATTTTCTAAATGCATAATCCATTCCCAATAGATAAGCAAGTTTGTCGGTTTGTTCATTATACATCAGGCTGTCCTTAGATAAATTGACAAATTGATTATCGATTTTTTTGCATCTAAGTGGGAAAAAATTCATAATTCCATTTCTGAGCCTGAGATTCAAACGCGGTTTGTTTTGTTCGATAAAAAGACCCTACTCAATAAAACCTGGAAGTTTGGTCCGTCTGATTGCTTGAACTATTTTTCGGAAGCTACCAACGGTGATTTGATAAAAATTTAACATGATTTTTATTGCATCTAAGTGAGAGAAAAATCAGAAATTCATTGCTGAGCCTGAGATCCAGTCGCGGTTTGTTTTATTTGATGAGAAAGCCCTACTCAATAAATCCTAGAAGTTTGAAGTCCCTCTGATTGCTTGAAATATTTTTCAGAAGCTTCCAAAGGTGATTTAATAGAAATTTTACGAGATTTTTTTGTATTTGATTGAGAAAAAATTCATAATTCCATTCCTGAGCCTTAAATCCACTTGCGGTTTGTTTAATTTGATGGAAAAGCCCTAATCAATAAATCCTAGAAGTTTGAAGTCCCTCTGATTGCTTGAAGTATTTTTCAGACGCTTTCAAAGGTGATTTAATAGAAATTTTACGAGATTTTTTTGCATTTGATGGAGAAAAAATTCATAATTCCATTTCTGAACCTGAAATCCACTTGCGGTTTGTTTTTTTTTTTGATAAAAAGACCCTACTCAATAAATCCTGAAAGTTGGAAGTTCCTCTGATTGCTTCAACAAACTGCAATTTCAAAATAATTTTAAAAAAAATATACATTTTTGTAAAGTAGAAAAATTTGGCTTTCTGACGATGACAAAATGTACAGGGTGTTTCATTGAAAATAAGGCAGTAATTCTATTTCAAAAAATCGCCTGTCAGTAAGACCAGTTTCCGCAAATTCTATGATTCGGCAATACTGTGATCATTATTCTTAAAGAACAAAACACATCTCGTTATCTTTACTCGTTTTTGAGATATTTACCTGCAAAATGTGTCAGTTTATCTAAGGACACTCTGTATATTAAACTATTCTAGAGTGAAAAGAGTTTATCAAAAGATTACCTTTCATAATTTTTAAGAAAATTGAAAAACGATTTTGGGCTAGTAATTTTAGGTAGAATCTTCCTATGCATCGAGTTTTTAATCAAAAGAAAGCTAAACGGTTTTTCTAGTTCTTTTAAATACTGTTTTTTTTTTTAATCAATTACCTTCGTATACTTACATCCAATTTTATTTTAAAACTTACCAGCCCTTTCAACCTCCTACCCAGGTTGAGGGAAGAAAAGAGGGGAGGTGAATTTTGCATAAAAACTCATCTCCCTTCAAATTATAGTTGACGTGTTTCAGGGATTTTTTCGAAAATTTTTCAACTCCGAGATAATGGGGATGGTAAGTTTTGAAATGAACACCCTGTATATTATAAACATAAATTATTTAAATCCATCTCGTTTTCCTTACCTCTGTAGATGAATCTGGATGAATATAGTGCATGAAAATCAACCTGGATCTTTTTTCAGTGTACGCTTTGTCAGTGTGCTTTTTGAAGTCCTCGCAAGCCAACCAAAAGAGAATGTTTTCTTCAGAGTATTCTCCTTTTAGAAAGTTTCTAAACACTTTTCTACCGGCTGCAAGGAAAAACATTTCTTTAGGTACCTATATGCTTTGAAAACTTTTTCGAAAATTTAATATAAGGTTAACATATCTAGGTATGCTAATAAGTCAAGGAGAAATATACCAGGTGAGAATTTTAAATTGTTTTGATTATTGGTTCATTCTGAATGATAAAAACAGGTTTTCATTTGTTTACTTACAACTGCTTTTCATCAGCTTATCGAAGGATTTTCCCCAACCTCGAAGTTCATCCATAGTAACACGGACTTCCTCCATCGGGCCCCTATGCATAAAAAATACTTCTGTATTAAAAGATTGTGGAAATTATTAATTTATTTTTCGTCATACTGTACTGTAATCTTACTATAACATGCGCGAAATTGAAATGGTATCTTTAACGGCCGCCTGCCGTTATTTTAACGGCCGGCTCCTATTTTTAAAAGTACCTATCTACCACCTAGAACAATTTATTATTTGATAAGTTCCCTAGCAACCACATCGATATCCTTAGAAACTACTATGGAAACTATAACAAACTGTGCTTCACTTATTGTTTATTGTCAGATTGTGTCAGATTCTATGATTGTCAGTTTGACTGATTATAAAAAAATTCAGCGATGGAAAAAAAAGAAAAGATGTACTGAAAGAAGCAGATGAGGCTAACAACAATTTATTTCCGGAAAGAACCAAACAGAGATATCAGCAGGAATATGACAATTTCGTAAAGTGGCGTCAGAATAAAAACATACACAGGAGTGAAGAAGTACTGCTAGCTTATATGCGAAAGGAATGTCTGAAACGTATTCTCCTACATCACTGTGAACAAAAATATCAATGCTAAAACTTTCGTTAAGAATATATGAAAACATTTTTCGTTGGTTACAGGAATAGCAAATGTGTGAAGCAAGTCGTCGGCATACATACCATCGAAAACGTTCCAAAGAAAATTGACACGTTTTCAAACCTAGAAAATCCCGGACTTTATACAGGACATTCATTTCGTAGAACATCAGCAACCATGCTTGTAGAAAATGGTGGTGACTTACTAGCATTGAAAGAGCTGGAAGGATAGGAATCTTCAACGGTGGCAGAAACTTACATAGAAAAATCGGTGTCTAAAAGAATGAAGATAGCAAAACAACTTTTTCAAAATAATTCGGAAAATATTGCATCTTCAAATACTATAATAAGTAGTTCACACTTTTCCTCTGTAAAATCTAATCCTTGGGGTGGATTGCAGATTTCTAATAATAGCAACTGCGAATTCAATTTTCATATTCATTATAATAAGGAATGAATTGTTACATATGGGAATAATTCTGTACCTACCTATTAAAGTTATTGTTTAATAAAATTTGTTTTCAAATTGGGTGGTTTGTTTAAAAAATCTGCAGTATGACGAAAAATCTAGAACGGAACACGGCCGATAACTGCAAATAACAGCCTTGGCCGTTATTTGCTATTTATCGGCCTTATAACGTTAATAACTATTTACATACGGGGAAACGCATGTGTCCAAATCCGATGTAGATTTTTTTGTAGCGCCATTTTCGTCATTCTTTTGGCCAGGGTTTGACCTGAAAAAAAAAATTGTATTGAAATCTTCAGTAATAATCAATGTTACTTTTTAAGTTCCTTTAAATCATATTTTCTGAGTTTTCGTGATCTGTTTCTGAAATATACTGTTAAACCAAATGACTGATAGTGTATGCACCTCCTACTAAAATAATCAACATTCTGCAATCAATGAGAAAATATCACCGCCAACTATGAAACTTTTCTATTAACGTTGATTATGACAGATTCTGGAAAATACACAATTTAAATAGATGTAATGAAACCCCCTTTCAAATAGCATATTGCTTTTAATTAATTACTTATTGAAGCCTCGGAAATAAAAGTTGAAAAATTATAATTTTAGATGAATAGTATTTTAATTGAAATGTATTCGATCAAAAAGTACAGAATTTTTTATTTGAGAGGCAACAAACAGCACCAATCAAAGCTACAAAATGCTCAAGGCAAGTACTGTGATTAATTGATTTTGCAATTTTTCCTGGCAAGAAAAAAAAACAGCTATAAAAACTTCCTTTTAAAAATTATCTAGGTCACGATTGTTTTATTTCTCCTAGATCTTCAAGAAAAATATTACGTCGACGAAGTCTATTATAGTAGCTAAGGGGAGAGTAGTAATACTAATCAAACAAAGGACAAGAATCATGTGGCGTGAGTGACATTCATACCAAAGGCAGGATGTCGGCCAGAGGATGAACCAAAATCCTATCGACCCATCAACCTAACTTCCTTTCTCATTTTTGGAGAAAGCAATAGACGAATAAGTATATCAGAATCGAAACTGAAAGTAGCAGACCGCTTCATTCAAGACAATTTGCCTACCTACCAAGTAGGCAAATCCACAAGTGCACTCCATTGTCTAGTTAGTAACAGACATAGAAAGAGCAATTGAGGCAAACAAAAATAGCTCTTGCAGCTTTTATAGATATAGAGGGTTCCTTTGTTAACACCTCACACCGATTTATCAACAAAGCTCTTGAGGATAGGGGGGTAGAAGCTTTTATTATAGGATGGACAGATGCCATCCTAAAACATTGCTCAGTATCGGCGCATTTGAACGGCGAAACAGTTACTGTCACCACGGTTAAAGGCTGCCCATAAGGTGATGTCCTTTCGCCTCTCTTGTGGAAACTAGTTGTAGACAGTATCCTTAACAGACTAAGCAACATCGGAATAACTGCACTAGGTTAAGCAGATAATCTGGAGGTAAAAATATAATCAGAGGTAAGCATGAGATCATAATAACAGAACGAATGCAAAGTGCTTTGAATATAATTAAGAACTGGAGCGAGGAAGAAGGACTCCATAAATCCCAGCCTCTACTCTAAACGGTACTCAATTATCCCTCTCAGATGAAGTTAAGTATTTAGGGGGACCAGGGACTGCAAACTTACTTGGAACAACCATCTGAACGAAACAAATATCACGAGCTACGATGGCCATTTGGCAAACTCGTGGGAAAAAAATGGGGAGTAAGACCAAAAATGGTACATTGGATTTACCGAACGGTTTTCAGACCCATTGTCACCTATGCTTCGTTGGTATAGTGGCCAAAGGCCGAGCAAATTACTGCACAGAACAGTCTAGGTGAAAAACAAAGGCTAATCTAGGAATAACAGGGGCTATGTCAACCTGCGCCACCGCAACCTTATAGGCACTGCTGAACATGCCTCCTCTTCACCTATTTTTAAAAAAAGAGACAAGAATAGATTCCTATGGGCTATTCAAGACAAAACGATTTGAACCAATCTATGAAGCTCCAGTGCCAAAGTAAATCAACAGATCATTTGATAACATCACTGGACTTTGACATTCCATATAAAGTGGTTGTAAAAGAACGCCAATCATGGAAGAAAGCAAAGCAAACGCAAGCGGACAACGCATCATTGTTGTACACAGATGGTTCGAAGCTAACGGAAGGAGTCTGTCTGGGAATAACTGGACCATACTTTAAACTCTCCATAGCAATGGGTAAAACGCCCACAATATTTCAAGGAGATCTGTGCCCAAGAGTGCTTAAAAAGAGGTTTTTTAAGAGAGCACATTTACATACATGTCCGACAGTTAAGCGGCTTTAAAGGCTCTAGGAGCCATCAGGTGTAATTATCAGCTAGTTTGAGAGGGTAAAATATCTTTGGGCATTTGGCTGGGAGGAACAAAGTAACTCTGATATAAGTGGACACCAGGGCATGGATGGCAACGAGGAGGTGACCGTCTCTCTAAGCAAGGCGCCTAATCTCTTTTTAAGGCCCCGAGCCTTTTTGTCGACTAATGAAAACCACGCCAGGACCGAATGTTAGCTCATTGGAGATCCATTACGGGGCTGAGACAGGCAAAAAGTTTCATATCCATCTCAGCAAAGAGATCTGAACAACTTCTTGACATGAACAGAAGAGACATCAGAACAGTCGTCGATCTGCTCACTGGGCATTGCCTGCTGAAATATCACCTAAAAACAATGGGCAAATCAGATACCGACCACTGCAGATCTTGCCAACAAGCAACAGAAAGTACATAGGACATTTAATCTGTGAAAACCCTGCTTACTTCTGCAGAAGGCTGAAATACGTTGAAGGGGTACGGCTGACGCCCCAAGAGGTGGGCACTTCACCACCCTGGAAGCAGCACCAACTAGAAGCAGTACGAAATATCTAGAAAGATAGCAGTACTTGAGCGGCTGGATCAAGCTGTAACCACGCCTTATGCAATCTACAATCTACAAAGTCGAAAGTGCTGCCCTCTATTAACCTATGATGTACATACAGGAACGTGTTTTTTTTTTTTAATTGACAGGTTAAAATTGAAATTGAACCAATAGAAACCTGGTACGTCATGACAATATCCTTGCGTCATGTCTTTCTCTACCGAGGAATATATAGAATTTTTTTTACTACCACTAGTAGAAAATAAAAAATTGGTTTGAAATCTGTGCTCAATTTTTTTTTTAACGCCTTCTTGAAAGTGCTGCTCTCTATCAACAGCTTATGGTAACTTCCTATGCACCTACAGAAACCTGTTTTTTTTTTTTTAAATTGACATGAAATTGAAATATAACCAATAGAAACATGACAATATCCTTGCGTCATGACGTCATTCTCATTATTGACCCAGGTATTTTTTTCATTATTTTCATTATTCACCTAGGGAAAGAAATTCGTTTTTTTCCTAGAAAAATAGATTGAATAATGACTATTTTTCAAGTTAGTAGTAAAAAAAAGATGTTATTCACACAAACCCATTATTTACCTGAAAGATGACTAATCACGCTAATCCCTATTTTGAATGAGGAAAATATCGCAGCCTCCTAGATCAATTTTTATAAGAGTTCTGCAAATTTGGGGTATATTTTCGAGCAATATGAGACTCCGGGTCTGAGAGTATCTATTGCGCTGCCCGATGGGACAAAAGTAGTATGTCCACAGATTCTCCTAAAAATAAATTCAATTTGTTCTTTTTTTTTAATCAATCTTGAGCATCAAATTGAAAACTCAGTTCCTCTTGATTAGCCGTTGAATATTGCACAGGACGAATTCGGAATGGAATATATTTATAAAGCAATAAACTTTGCCCCTGGTTTAAACTTAAGCAAACTTCTCTTATTCCCGGACCGTAACCAAATATGCTGTTCGGCACTGATAATCAAATACCTATAGGTACTTACTTTGCGCTCGTTCTAGAATAATTTAATTAGCAATCTCTGTCGAGTCATAGACTGAGAGATCTATTTTGGGTTTATGTAAGGACTCTTGAAATTTGTAATGAGAAACTAAATATTGAATGATCGTGATTATTTTTATCGACATGTAAGTAAAGTATCTCGAAGAATGAAAAAAATTAAAAAACAACATAAAGCCATGTACTTTAGCTGAGGGAAAAAATACACAAATGAGAATTGAACATAAAATGTAGGCTCCCGCTTTCAATGTCTAAAGGCATTTTAGAAAATTTGAAAGTTTCAAAAAAGTAATAATTTATTCACTTACCAAGGACATTTACAGCAGCAGCACAAGAGCATGCTGGTACAGGATTTTGTTCTGAGTTGCGACCCTTGGGGGCTAGTGGATTGAGGTCCATTCTGAGGGGGGCCAGCTGCCCCAACTGGGGTCCTGGCCCCTTGTACAGATGCTCGTGAGCTAGGGTACGTGGCTAGTATTGACAGTGAGTTGCCTTTGAGCCCGGGACGCTCCTTACATCGTGATTGCTGCGCAGTACTCGTGGATGTGCCTACTGCACTGGTAGATGCGGATCCAGTTGCGACGCTACTAGCAGTTGATACGCTTTGGATTGTCGCTGATGTAGAACTGATCCGCTCAGTAACGCTACAAGACATCTAAAAAACGTGGATTGAAAGTACTTTCAGCACGTGTGTTGAAAATGAAAAGAAATAAAATAAGAGAAAATCGATGTAAATGGGTTTCTGGTCGTAGGAAAGAGCGTTTACATCACTTGTGAGAAAGCGTCTTTCATACACACGTGTAATTTTCGCACTCGGCTACCGCCTCGCGCGAGAAAACACTCGTGTGAAATTTGTCACTTTCTACACTCGCAATGTAATATACTAATTCACTCACAATAAAGCAAAACAGATAAGTTGCGCCATAAAAACCCATTAATTCGTAGGCAATAAAATTTTCGCTAACGAAACGAATTATGATTAATTTCCAGCTGGGCTTTCTGACGCTAATAACTGGAAAGCGACTTTAACTATTTTGTGTTGGTGAATGTCGAGGTGAATGTGTACCGACATGCAATATTCGCATTATGTAGGGCCGCGTCTCTTTTATAAAATACAAAGTCAGATTGTAGTTTTTTTTAAACTCTAAAATAAAACTAAACATAGTTGTTATTACAAACTATGAAAAGTTTGTTGTTTTTAACGCATTATATGTAAATAATTTTATTTTATTTATGTGTATAAAATTTTCAAATAATTTTTGTACTGTATCACAACCAAAATTTCACCTTTTTTATTTAACGTTTTATGTGATAAATGAAAGCAGATTTTTTAATCTTTGCGGTTCTAGCCAAAGACGTTTTTCTCTCAACAGGCATATTGAAGAGGATAGGCTCAAGTTAAATCTTAAAGACAAAATCAACTGCAATGGAACTAGATTAATAGCTCATTCCATCTATGGAATGTGCAAAGCACTATACTCTGTTTCCTTCTCGTTAGGAGCACAGGACGAGGCAAAAAAAGGCTGAAGACAATAAAGCGATCATAAACAGGGAGCCATAAGCTATAAGTTAGGTTATTATCAGTGAAATTTATTTTTTTATACTACATTTTTTTATAATAAACTCTATTATCCTGTTTCTATTGCAATAGGTAAACTTCTTGTAGTTACATTTTGATTATTGTAAGCAGTAAATTATTAATTTATGATATAAAGTAAAGAGATTATTTTATTTGCTATTTCAATAATATCAATAACTACTAGGCCAAATTTAATTACAATTTACCTGCAACGTCGCTGGTAGCGGATTTGTTCCAAAATATCCGACACCCTTGTTAAAGTTTCATGACACTATTGTATTCCAGCCGGTACCGAGTATGTCGGTGGAATATTGTTAACTTGGTTTATGTTTCTGTTACATTTACGTATTATACAATGCTAACCCTGTTTTCGACCTTTTTTATTACGAGAAGGAAACAGACTATAGTCGACGATTTTTCTGCTTAAAGTTTATTGCCAGCACCATCAACGGCAAAATTGCCTACAAGTCCTGTGTTCATACCATGGTTATGAATGACGCCACACCATTAGTTTATTGCCATCATTGCTTTATTCAAATGCATAAATTTTAAAAATATGACAAACTAAGTTCTACTAAAAAAAACTGGGTATTTTAGCAGAATAGAATAATAGAAACTTAATCACACTACGAACGAATTACGGAATGATTCTAATCAGCTAGTAGCGTTTTCAGAACATTATCAAAGTAGCTATAGTTTTTCAATTGACGAGCTAGTGCATTGATTAATGATATCATTAGTTTCTAAATTTCTAGTAGGTGAAATGCTCCAAGTAATAAAAGTTGTTTAGTACCTATCCATGCTCTTGGTCGAATTCCGAAGCTCGAACATTTAATGATGAGAATGTTCTAATTATTGCGAAGTCTAATGGCAAAATTCAATCATCCAAAGCTGTGCACTTAATTAGGTTGCGGATGAATTTTAATTTGAGAAAATATATCGACAATAGTTTTGCCGGCTTTATAAAACGTATTACTTTTTCCAATTATGAATTTGCAGTGGACTTTCTCCTTTTCTGCTTCCTGTTGGATTAAAGGCATCAATTTTTTTTTTACTTCAGCTGTTTTGTTCCTTCATGGTTCATCGTCAACTGCATTTTCAGCAACAGAGTCGGGAAATAAAAACCTCATGGTTACTATGGAATTCGTTATTTGAACTGCCAGTAGTAGTTACTTGGAATAAGGAGAACGAAAACTTCTCTTTATCCACAGCGGAATGGATGGAAGACAAAATCGGATCATCATATATTACAACACGATATTTGTCGATGAAAACCAGTCAACTGTGATAAGCTGGTGACTCTTTTCCTTCTGGCTTATAGAAGCTCTGAGAATTATTCCATCGACACTATCGATGCTGTTGACTGGAAGAGAAATGTAATTTTCCGATCTAATGTTTCACAGACTACTAGTCAATGACGACGATGCTGTACCTTTAATTTATGTGACTGATCTACTACAGGCCAGAGAGTGGTTTTCGATTTCGCCAGGAATAGACTACGGCTGGACAGTGACGTAATAAAGATGAGACTGGACGAACATTAGTCATTGAACTTGAAGGTGTCCACTGACTGCTGTTCGAGGGAGACGCTGGTTTGATCAGCCAGTACATAGGAAGGGACTGAGTCCAAAATTAGGAAAGCCGTGGGAAGGACTACACATGTTCGGCAACAAGATCAACGATTCAACTTTTACTGAATGCGTTGCAAATTTACGTTTTCACAATTTAAGGGAATTTGTGCAGAATGTGGGTTTCCTAGTGATGAGACATTATACAAAGTCTCTATTCCCTAGGGCCTGAGAACCCCCTAGAATGTTCGAAAATGGAATTCGACGATGATGAAAATAGTTCTACCAATCGTCTTATCTGAGTACGCGTTAGTGACAGGACTTCAGCTGTTAGTATCTTCGAGGGGTTTGCAATTATCCCCTCCGAGTCTCTTGCTCCAGGTGTGGACCGCCAAAAGCGGAGGAGTTGATTGGTCGACCACCTTTCAACTGCCGTCTTTTATAACAAGCTTCGATATCTCAAATGCGGGTTCTGGTCTTGTGTAGGTTGCAGCTGCGCCCGCTCTGGCCAATTCGTCAGCCTTTTCGTTGCCTTCTATCCTCGAATGCCCGGGAACCCATAGAAGTCTATATTCTTTGACGACAAAGTTTCCAGGTCGTGTAGGCAATCGATCGTTATCAAGTAAATCGATGTGAGTTCCAGAGCTACAACAGCCCACATCCGTAATAACACAGAATAACAAACAATGCAGAAGGAATACAGAAAGAGGGATCCGATTTACCTTTCTATGACTTCGAACCGGGCTAACGGCAGAAATATCAGGGACGCACACTGGTAAAACCTTCTTCCGCCGACATTTAACTAATTGGTGACGCGCTACCAGTGAACATCTTTCCGCCGTTGCCCAAGGGGCGTGGCTTCCTCCGTGACCATCATCGGATCTATCTTTCTGTGTCCCTTCTGATTGTTTGTTATTCTGTGGTAATAGTCTCTATAAACTCTGGTGTAATTTTTACTCCTCGCAGTCCTCGCCGTTTAGAAACAGAGTAATCCATGAAAATTGGAGAACAAATATTTGGGAATTAGCCTCTACAAAACTTCAGGTTTCCAAGATTTCAAATCAATTGAACTACACAGCATAAAGCGACTCGAATGTATTTCAATTATAATTATTTAATTGAATGAAATATTGTAAAAGATAATACGAATTAGCTACCTATATAGACAGTGTTATATTTAAAACGTCGAGCTAAGTTTTCTATACGTTTATGATGTGCATTTAAAAAAGGCTGAGTTCCACCCTGTGCTCTTAGTTTAGTGGTAAGAGATAAAGCTATTTGACGGACAGATTGAAAAGAATACAATCTAATATAAAGCACACCATATGAGAATGATATTCATGGTGATATAAATTTCTGATTTAAAAGCCCGTGGAAAGGTCAATAACTCATTCGCCACACAGTGAACTGTCGTATAAAAGATAATAGATAACTTTTAATAGGTAATCAAGTGTACTTGTATACATATTAATGGATATTTGACCAGAATCTATTAATTTTGTTGATTTAAAAACGCTCCAAATAATAATAAAAAATGTCAATTACGCGAAGAGAGTCAAACAACAAGTTCGCTATATTAGAAAATGGTTCTGAATGATTGGAAACGGCGCTATAAGCTTCAAAAACAAAAAAACAGACTGGATACAAAGAGTTGCGACAAGTCAGTGAAAAAAACTCTTGATGCTGAAAGAAAGGCATTAGCATTATGAAAAAAAAATAAAAATCCCAATTCCCAAAACTGATAATTTTTATTCAAAAATAAAATGTGTGTCATATCTTATGGAAATATATATCTAACATTCGCAAATTTAGTGCGAATATTATTGTCATGGCTCTGGATTACATGACAGAAAGTTTGGGTTCGTTCGTTTATTCTAAAATCAAAGTCCAATTAACACAGCAATAATTTATTCCACGTAACTATACACTCTGACACTAATTACTCCACTAATTAACTCAACAACTAAACTCTTTATAACTATCAACAATAATCACTATCTGCTTAATCGTATTACAGTCAAACTTAAACTTAAAAATTACAAACCAATAGCAGTCTTTATATAGCCGAAATTTATTCATGCAAATTCCGGAAGAACCGCGATCGAACTTGTTTCCGTAAAATCTCGAATCAGCTGTGGATTCTTGACATGCTGGCGAACGCGACATTGTGTAACATAAATAATAATAATAATTTGTGTATCCTGAAACGTATGAAGGTTCGGAAATGAACGAGACTACTCTTCCGAACTTAAATAAACTTTATTTGAAAAAATAACACAAAATTCTGAATAGAATTATTATAACACTTTGAATCACGTAAATTAAGCTTAACTTCTGTTCACAAACTATATCACTATAGCGGATCAACTAACTGGCAAATTCACAGCCAACCCGCCCTAACTGGCCGACTTCTTCTGTCACTAGATCATTCCATCAACGTTAAATTCCATTCTCGAATAGGTCGGATGATCAAAAACTAAAAAGTACGAACGACGGTTGTTATTTTAT